TAAACATGTTATTGTGAAATGGAAATGATTAGACTGCGAGCAATCCCTCTATTTTCCTTCGTTTTATTGTTTCCCGGACTAAGATAACTAACGCGCGGGAAAATGGCAAAAAGGGGCGGAGACGAGAGGAAAAATAGAGGGATTGCCGCTTTAACTAATTGTCAAGCGTGTTTGATTTTCCCGTTGCACAGACAACGGGAAATTCTGATTGGTTAAAAAACAATAAATATTCTGATAGCATTAAAACCCATCACTCAGCTGGCTCATAGTTAATATAATGAGCTCATTATATTAACTATGGCTGGCTTTATACTGTAAACAGACATTTGCCGAAATTAATATCTATCTGGCAGCGGGAAGCAACAAAAATTGATACGTATGTAGTTGAAAGTCTTACAACAAGCTTACAGAAACAAACGCTTGCAATAGAGTGCCTACTTGAAGGTAGAGATGTTCTAGCTGTCCTTCCTACGGGATTTGGAAAGAGTTTCCTGTTGGCTGAAGATATTCGAAGGGTTTGTTCAAGCCCAACTAGTATTCTAGTATTTAAATTGTTCCTCTTCATAGCATTTATATTGATGAACAGTTACGGTCCAACGACTTTGCATTAAGGATGATCGCCGTTTTGGAAATATTAACTCGGCCGTTCTTATAGTGGGATCAACGAAACCAATTTTCAGATATTTGTGTACATATGCGTCTGCTGATGAAGCTTAAATTGAGCCTTTGTCTCCTGAATTTGTTGCCTTGTTGAAGAATAAACTCGGCTCGCCATTCAGAAACGAACTATGCCTCATAGTCGTTGATGAATTGGCAGTTAGGCTATTAATTAATACATGGTGACTTGGTGGGTTTATGGAGTTTGGGTTTATTATAATATTGTATGTCTTTGTATTAAAATATGTATGTATGTTTGTATATTGTATGTATTGTTTTGATCTTAAATGGAATAGTCATGTTGACAGTATCAATGTATCTAAAAGATTGTATTTTTTTATATAAACTAAACCTCTATGCCTCTATGTTTACAAAGCTTAAAATTTAAACTTGAAAATTGGAAACATGCAAATGTACAGTACGTATACGAATGCTAAAACTATGAACTATGAATTAAAACGTTTACATGTAGAACTTGCGATTATGAATATGTTCATGTATCTATTAGTCTTAATTATTGGAAAGTCCTCAGGGATTAATGTGCAGACAGTGCAGTATTTGAGTTCAAATCCGGCAATAGTGCCGAGAAGTTTGTGATTTGGATCTTCAATGATTTCTGTATCCGTTCAATGTCTTTACTCAGGTAATTTGGGATTCCGCAATGAAAAACGGGCGATGCATATTCTACTATCTCGCTCGGATGCAAGTACAATAAAAACAAATCATCTCAGCAGCGGGTACATTCGCACGTTTTAACTGACGTAAATTACAAACACTCCTTGTAAATCTTAACCATGTAATTCAGCTGAATAGCTGTATTAAGTTGGTAATTTTTTTATTACTGTAAACTATTAATGTATATCAAAATATTGAAGCAGAAAGTCACAGTCTATTGAATAGACCCTTCAATAAACCCTAAGACCTCTTGCCTTGCTTTATACGTTTTTCTGCCAGACAAATTCTGATTATGAATATTCATACTTGCCAAACTGAAATTTGAGAATTTAAATACACGTTGTTTGGTTTTACACCAAGCGAATTGAATCATTCGAGATCACGCCTTTCAAGAGATGTTTTTGACCCTGTTTTGAAATATAAACAAGTAGGCGGAGCTTAATCAAACACGCTTGACAATTAGTTAAAGCGGCAATCCCTCTATTTATTAGGGATTGCTCGCAGTCTAGGAAATGATCAAATAAAGTTATTTCTGCAACAGCCCTTGCATTCAAACACCTTATTTGTATTTTTCTTGTTCATGCTTGAGCATCAGCCTCAGGATAAGCAAATTCCATTGGATTTGTGAGAGCACTTGAACTATATTGGGTCACTACATGAATAACAGAAAAGATTCAGACTCCCACAGCCTGTGCTACAAAAAAGTTACAGCTGTGACAATGTAGAGGGGTGATCCAAATAATAAAAATGATGTTTAATATGGACTTAAGATGGCTCGATATAGTTATCACGAAAACCCTGCTCAAGAATCGCGAACTCAAAACCGGGTGACCATTTTTACGCGCAGGTCGCGGAAACTGATTAACAAAATGACAGAACTTCCAAAATGACCTGACGTAAGCAGCTGCTCGCGCCATCTCACGTCATTTCGCGTGTTCTATATAGCGTTTTATGTCAATTGCTGACGTCATTAGAATTTTCCATTTTAGAAAAACAATGCGCTATATCTCTTTATTTTGTCTGGTGACCTATGTTCAAATTTTGCATGCTGTATTGCACCGCTAAAAACTTTCATTATACAAAAAATAAAAAAATTCTGTAATGCCAAAAAAATTTTACCGAAGAATATGACATTTTCGCATTTTTCAAAAAAATGGCATTACAGAATTTTTTTATATTTTGCTAATTGTTAGCTTTTCGTCCAAGTACAATAATGCAAGAAAAAAGATTGGGGGTCACCATGCTTCTTTTCCAACTATACGAGACGAAAGGCCATTTTGGAGTGTATTTTGTACACGTATGTCGTCATAGCAACGAACTATCTGTTACTAAAACTAATATAATTTGAAAGTAGAGATATCGAAATATATAAAAAACCCAATATCTGCTGAATATATTCTAAAAATGCATAGTTTGAACATTTCAAAGTGTTGAACACCTGAATTTTTGAAAACTGTATCGAGCCACCTTAAAATTATTAAGCAATTGAGTGCACCAGCACTTTCCTCTTTAACAAATAAAATTATCTAGCATTGGACTGAGCAAGATAACAAAGTAGGGCACAGTGCCCCTTAATTAATCACTTAATTAAAGGTTTAAATGCTGAATTTTTTGAAAGTGCCAGAGTGGCAACTGGCAGGCTATACTGAAAAGGTAGGTTGTGGGCATGCATCCTAAGTAAATACTGCTACAAAAACCTGGTAGTTAGCAGTTAAAAGTTAAAACCAATCACGAATTTCATTATTTCAAAGTAATATAAAACAAAACTAGTCGAGATTTTGAACCCAAGATATGAGACAAAATTAATATGAGAATGAGTTTGAATATAAAGAACAAGAAAAAAGAGGATAACTGAATTACAAAACTGCTGTGATATTGTTGAAACTAGAAATATTATACATTTGCTGTTTATAACGGTAGTTTTTTACCTTTTCCATCGAAATGGCAAGTTAAAATATTTGCCAAGCAGCCCAAGCTTTGGCAAGCTAGAATTTAAAAAAAAGTATTAAAAGAAATAAAAACTTTCGTGAATCTTACCTGAAAACAAGAAATATAATAATCCTTCGAGTGAATTGTTTCATCTACAAGCAGACTAAAAACTTAAAACTAACACACTTTTTCCTTGACTGCGAAAATATCAAAATTTTCGGTCGAAACTCGAAAATTATGACCAAAATTTTTGCAAAAACCAGGGGGGTGAAGGATTTTATTTCAAGCGTAGGATCGCGGTTGGTCAGTGGTAATTGCCATGAGCCGGAGGAACCAATTGGCGTCAGCAAACATGAAAATCCGCCATGTTTTTCCGGACACTCGTTTGACTGACGGATAGATAGGAGCACGTCCTCCAGTAATATTATAGCTCAGTGGGCGGAACTCGCGGCGATTCCTTTGTTCTTTGTGTCCCCATGCAACGTCATTTCCACGCGCCACGCAAATTGCTCTGGCAAGTCAAAAGTGTCATTCGTCGTGTTTTCAGTCAAAAGCATAGGAAAAACACCGTTCGAAAGTAGAAAAATAAATATTTTTGCGAAGTTGCTCCACCGATCTTCATTTTGGATCTCAAATTTGAAAGATAAATGGTAAGTGGTTATTTTTATGTAAAAAGATATATGTTTATAGGCTAAATACAAAGAAAAAAAAACAGTATAAACTTTGTACTGCATGGCCATATTTTACAATCTCGGTGCTTGTCATGTTCTGCCAAGAAGCAGATTCCCATTTCGCTAAATTAATGGCCAAACGTATTGCTTTCCTGTCTTTTACATTAATAAGAAAGCATAGGTGCTGATTTGAAACACTTCCATTGCACACTTCCATAAGGTTCCATGTAGCTTTGGGATTTGTGAGCAAAAATTAAAAGTTAAACTACCTACGTTTTTAATACTTTCTGTGCAACTGTTGAGCACATTCACAAATGTATTCTCCAAGAAACATTTCTTTACGGATTGTTAATCCGCCTGTACTACTTATGCCTTCAAAAACTAAATAAATATGTGTTCAAATAATGTCTAATAACTCACTCCAAAATAGGCAATAACTGTTTTCTTTATAGTTGACCCCACATGTTGTCATGAAAATTAATACTAAATATGAATAATTGCATTGCATTAATAAAGAGTTTCCATTAAAAGAGAAAGTA